ATATATCACTGCATAGTGAGACCCTGTCTCAAAATGACCAAAACAACAGACAAACAAACAAACAAAAACCCCACCAACACAAGCCCTCAAAATTAACTGACTCTCCGCCAAAAACTGCCAACCCTGGCAGGCTGTGAGGCAAAGCTCTGGTGTAAGGAACAGCTAGGCAGGGACATGGGGTGAAGAAATCAAACTGAAGGAAAGAGTCCAAAGAACAAAAGCTGCTTTAGTTCACTTCAGCAAACAAGCTCAGCTTCTGTTCCCATTTTAGCTATTAAGGGATCAGAAGCCAATTCCAAGGACCAGGATAGAATTTAAGGTAATACTATGAAGATTTTTTTTTTTTTTTTTTTTTCCCAGAACTGGGGGTTGAACTCAGGCCCTTGCACTGGCAAGCGCTTATTCTACTGAGCCATCTCCCCGGTCCCAATACTATGCAGATTTGACTTCATACCAACCCACCAACATGAATTTGGCCTCCAGACACTTATGGAAAGGGTCACTCAATACTGGTCAGAAACCTAGTTCTTTGAAGTAAAAAAAAAAAAAAAAAGTTCATTTCACCATAGCAGAGGTGTACATTATCACACTATATGATTATAAAGAATATGCATAACCAAAACAATTTTAGATATCCTTTTATAATCTTTTCGATGTCTTCCCTTACAAATATAGTTTTACAAATAATTCTCAGAGAAGGAAATACAAAGAAGGCACTCATGTCTCTCTAGTTTTTCAAAGACCAGACACCACCCTTGTTACATCTTTTTTTTAAATCTTTTTTTTTTTTTTTAAAATATGGAACGCTTCACGAATTTGCGTGTCATCCTTGCGCAGGGGCCATGCTAATCTTCTCTGTATCGTTCCAATTTTAGTATATATGCTGCCGAAGCGAGCACAAAAAAACTTAAATCTTAACACCTACTTAAAATCTTAACACCTACAAAAACTGCAGGACACAAAAGTGTTACCCAAGGACTAAAACAACAGACACGGACACACCTTTTCTCTCTCCAGATACAGAGTATTCCCTATGAACCAGAGTTGAACAAAGGCCAGTACTGTGCCTGAAAGACATCCCGAATAGGTGCTGTCATGACATGGAAGCAGACATTAAATGAAAACATGAGCAATATACTGACTGTACCAAGTAAAATCAAAGTTCACTGCACACACTCACATCCCATGATTAGACAGACTAGGAGGAAAGACAAATGCCAACAGTGCTTGAGTGTTAGGGAAGGCTGCGACTAGCTAGGGGTGATTCTGCCATCATTTTTGGCTTTCATCTTTCAATGATCCTAAAATTCCATCAGAAAGACTATGACTGGACACAGCATACTATTCAACTGTGATGCACATCACCCTAAGTAGAATAGGAGGTCACGGGCCTGTGAGGGAGCAGGGGTGGGCACAAGTAATCCAAGGCCTTGGATGAGATCTTGGTTCTGTGTGACCCTAGGCATTGGTTTCCTCCTCCTGTTAAGCAAATAGCTGGATAAGAATAGTGGTTCTTTATCCCTTCCTTAGTAGGTATCTGAGTCCTACTTCTTTCTCACTGACTCTCCCTAAGGGAAAAACAAAAGCAAAACACGTATGTTCTGAGAAGTTTTAGAAATAATTCCAGGAAGCTTATGGATCTTTTAAGATTCAGGACCAGTTTAGGGACACTGATTAAAATGCTCTTCCCCAGCTCCAGCCCCACAACCACAGGATGGCAAATGATTTTCATTCTTTGTGTCTGTATGAAGGGTCTCATACAGCTGCCACTAAAATATGACACAATCATCAGCTTTTTGCCTAACCAACAGCCACCTCGCAAAAGCACAACCTAACTACTAAGGCTCAGACTCCTTAATACAGAGCTCTGGCACTAAATGGAACGTTGAGTTTAAGGAGAACTCTAGGCTGCTAGTACACAATCAAACTGTGCAAGTCAGACACAGCAGATTGAGAGCCATTTTCAGAGGTGTCTGTTGCATCCTGGTGTTTCAATTAGATGCTTATACTGATGAATTGTTTACACTAGCCTCAGGATTCTCCAATGCATACAAGGAATTAAAAGGAAAGCCACAAAAAGCAACAAATTATCTGGCACCAGGTAAGCAACAAATTACCTGGCACCAGGCAAGGCTCTCTTGTTTTTGTTGCTTGTTTTCTGAGACAGGGTCTCACTAAGTCCAGGCTAGGCTAGAATTCACCCTATAGCCCAGGCTGGCCTCAAACTCATAGTGATCCTCCCACCTCAGACTATCAAGTACTGATATTACAAGCATATGCCACCAAACCTGGCTCCAGGCAAGAATTTAAGTTACCTACCCCACAAAGTACCCTTTGCTTTCTTATTTCTATCATTAATCACCATCCCCACTCAAAGCCAAGAAAATGTTTTCCCCAACCCGAGTCAAACAGGATTGACAGTTTTAGTTCTGAAAATTCTTATATTAAAAATAAACTCTACTTCACACACTGAAAATAAAAACACATAAGTAAAACTGCTACAAAATACCAGTAATTTTGACAAATTAGAGATAAGGTGTGTTCTGTTGTATCTTAGTCACGTCTTGGAGTTTTGCTTATGTAATTCTGCTTCTGAAATATGTAACATCAAAACAGTCACAAATCAGGAATGTGCAGAGTCCGGTGGGGGGGGGGGAGAGGTCCCCAGATGGGCCTTCCTTCCTAACTTCACTAAGGCTTCTCTCTTGACACTGTTACAGCCCACCATGAGGCTGACTCCTTTCTGGGGACTTGAATGCAGTTAATCAATCACATGTGCTCAGAGTGAGCAGGTTCATCTTCAGGAAGACTTGAAAAAAAGGCCCTTGGGTGTCTCTGCCTGCCCTGTCTTACTGCCTCTGTTGGAGGACAAGAGTGCCACTGCTCCTTACTGCCAACACTTGGGGACAGAGACCAGAATGCTCTGGGCAGTACTGACCCAGGGCAGATGTGCTGTGTCCCTCTGCCTTCACAGAATCAGTCCAAAGCAATGCTTCAGCTTTGAATTCCTCCTGAGTTCACTGACAGCTTTGTTTTGGGCAATGATTAGTTCTTCCTGAACTACCCTACCTCAATTCCTTGTAACAGCAACAACGAAAAAAGACAAAATAAAACAAAATGGCAGCAGAGGGGGATGGTTTAAGTGGATTAATCAGTTTCTATTTTTTAAGATAATTTCACACAATGTCACTTCTGGGCCAGTGATGAAATTATTCTTGCCACCCACAGGCTATTCCAAAGCAAGCTGTTGTGTTTTTTGGGGATGCTGGGGATTGAACTCAGGGCTTCCTGCATACTAAGCACATACATTAGCACTGAGCCACCCTCAGCCCCATACAGACACTGAACCGTACAAGAAGTTTGGAGTTAACTAGCAACAAGTCTGAAAATTTGGTTACGTATATAGGTACAAAGCTGGTTCATCAAATCCCTGTTCTGACCCTCAACCCAATGCATTTCAACTAAGGCATCATCCACTTCCTTCTTGACATTTATCAAACACTTAAATAGGTACTGTGCACCTCCTCCTTGGAGATGCTTCCCCTTGTCAGCCTCGGGGCTGCTGAACTGCTCAGATGCCTCTCGGTCCTGGGCGCCATTGCTAGAGCCCTTACAACTTTCTATAACCTCTGTCCCTCCCTTTCCCTCACTCATTTCATCCTCCAGGGGTTCTGGGGCTTCCTCCTGGGACAATGACTCCTGGCTTGGGCAGTGGCCCCCAACAGTGGCAGACTCGTCTTCCTGTGGAGCAGGGCCACACAGGGTACTCTCCTGGGGGGCCAGGGCCACATCTTGGCTACTGCCCGACTCTTTGGGGGTGGCCTTCTTCTCCTCCAAGGCCTGGATGACATCCTCAGGAGCTCGAGGCACCTCTCTCAGCTGTCTCACTCGTTCTCTTTTCTTCCTCCTTAAATGAATCCAGGAGTTTTCTATGGCTGTCAGGAAAAGGCTAACTTCCTCTTTTCCACAGGGAACTCGTTTATGCTGGACCTATGTGGAAGAAAGAGTTTTATAGGAAATAATTTTTCCTTTTTTACCAAATATCCTTCAAAAAAGAGAAAGAGGCAGGAAGAAAAAGAAAAAAATAAGAGAGAAGAAAAGAAAGAAAAACGAGTACTTCAAAAATGTGCTTCACAGGTACCTTCAGATCCGTGAGAATTTTTTCTATCCATGTTGTCACACCCACAATGCCTTCCGCTGTCTCAGAGCCCAAAGATGATGCTTTGAGAGATAACTCTTTCATCACAGACTCCAGCACTACAAACGTAATGGGCTTCCTTGGCTTCTCTAATTTTCTTCGTTTACTTGGTGGTGACTAAAAGAAAAAATACATCATGGAGAAGAGAAAGAAGTTATCTAAATAATAAAAATCCATGCATTATAATGGACTCAACTAGGGGGGAAATTTTCACAACTTCTGCTTCCAATCACAGAGCACTATAAACACAAAGGCAATTAATTGCACATTATTTCCAAAGCTGAAAGCAACCCTGAAAGATTTTACAAAAGGGAAGACTAAGACATAGAGAGGAGGGCCGGCCAGTTAGCTCAACAGACTAAAGTGCCTGCTTAGGCAGAACACTGTAATCCCAGTGCTTGGGAGGCTGAAAACAGGAGAATCACTATGAGTCCGATCTGTGTAGTAAGATCCTGGAGACCCTGTCCTACAATAAAAAAAAAAAAAGAGAGAGAGAGTGTGTGATCCCATTTCAAGATTACATAGCCACACATCTCACATTCACACAGCTGGTAACGGTGGTTGTTGTTTTTGTACTGGGAATTGAACTTAGGACCTTACACTTTCCAGGCAGACACTGTTCCATTGAGCTCTATCCTCAGGGTTGGGATTAGAACATAAAACCCAAGTTCTTTTCAAATATACCATGCTGCCTCTGTCTCAGCAATTAGTACCAAAATCTTCCAATTGCTGAATGCCCTTATTTGTCTATTGTGCCCAAAGCAGGCCTACAGAAGTATCGAGTTCATGACAACTCAAAGCTCTTGGGGGGTACAATGCTCTGAATGGTGTAAAATCACTAACCTTTAGTTTTAGTTTGGGCTTATACTTGCTGAAGCTTGAAATACAGCAGCCAGTGAGCTACAGCTTGTGAAATCACATGCTAGGAATGACCAGGGCTGCTGACATCACATGAGTAGACGAGAACTGCTGAATCTTGGCTGGTGAGTACCCAGAGGACACAGTACTGATGAGAACACTGAAAGCAGGTGCCATGAAAATCCAGACTGTTATCGTCTATTCTTTCTCAAGCTCGGAAGGTGAATTGCACCCTACCCACTAGAGGGACTCAAGTTCCATCTGAACAACCAAATGGCATCCTTGTACAATTTATTTCTTTAAAGTAAAAATTTTCTAACTTTCACCTTTTTTAAAAAATGACTATTGACTAAGTTCACATACATTGTTTTATTTGTTTTTATTTTTATTTTTTGGCGGAATTGGAGATTGAACTCAGGCCCTTGCGCTTGCCAGGCAAGCACTTATTCTACTGAGCTATCTCCCTGGCCCTACATACATACATTGTTTTAAAAGATAATTTTTTGTTTTGTTTTGTTTTGTTTTTGGAACCAGGGATTGAAGAACTCAGGCCCTTGCACTTGCCAGGGAAGCGCTTATTCCATTGAGCCACCTCCCCGGCCCCCTAAAAGATAGTTGTAGTTGGTGACAAAATTAAAACTTCTGAAAATTAAGATCATGCTAAGGTTGGAGCAAACTAAGCAGGCAGAAATAAAAAGGAAAAAGACCTAAAAAGAGAAAACACTAGTCAAGTTTGAAGCTTTGGGATCAGAGGATCCCCACAACTGCAGCTGCTAAGAGCACATGCACATACTCAGCAAGCTCCAATTACTCCAATTACTGGAGGCCTGGAAACAGCTCACCAGCAGCCTCACGCACAGAATCAAATAGCAATTTACCCTTATCCAAGAACCTTTTAAAGTAATAACATAAAATTTTTTTCTTAAAAAATAATACATTTTCTCTTCTTCTTTATCCCCATTCTCTTGCTGAAGTGTTAGGAATGGAGCTCGAGCCTCATATTTCATGAATGTTAGACAAGCATTAGGCCACTGAACTACACCTCCAGTTTTACATTTTCTCTGTACCAGAAATTAACGAACAATAACAACAAAATTAAAGATTACAAAAGCACAAGATTAGAAGACTAAAACCAACGAGTGTATATATATATATGTTAGAATCTGGTTACACACTGTAGTGAACACCTAAGACTTGTCTAAGCCTAAACTTGTTCAATTATTTCAGAAAAGATGAGACAAAATTCTTTAAAAATATTTATTTAAAAAAAAATAAAAAATAAATAAAAA